GAAAGCATGGAGATATGAGAAGATTTTGCAATCATCATTTAAATCTCAGTCTCATAATCAAACAAATTTATATAATGAACGTATGCTATAAAAGACTGTAATAATCTCAATTTTGAACTAGTATTGTAGTGAACTTTAGTTTTCACTTTTTTGTTTGTTAGGATGAGAATGATTTAAAATTCTTTAATTATATTTGAACTTGAATTTATTAACTGCCCCAGAATATATACTTCTAATTATACATACATATCCTCTCCGTTGATATCTTTTTGTTCTGAAGATCGTGAACGATGAATTGGTGCTCTCTTTGATTTGCTCGTATGAAGCTTTGTGTCTACATGTAGATTGTACAAAATACCGTCAGCTGCTTTCTTTATACTCTGCAGAGCTCGAGGTTTGTATTGATCACACATCTGACTGCGTTCATCCATGGCGAGTTTCTTAACAGTATCTATTAGTTGAATGTTTCGCTTTAATTCTTCTTGATATTCTGACTGAAATGAGATACTCCAAATGATATTGTATAGAGCGATACACGCGAATTGATTGAGTGGATCCGTACTAGTGATTAAACTGCTGAAAGCGATGAGAAGATCGGCAAATAGCTTAAAGGTAGAAAACATATTGGATGGTGGTTCTGTTTCGGCATGTGCCATGACATAGTCAACTGTTCGTTCATCAACAACAAACAGTTTTGCTAAGACAGCTACTAGATGTGAGACATGGTAAAGAACACCTTTACATGTAAAATCTTCCTTAGTTGCAGCTTCCATAGTTAATTGCAGTAATTGATTAAGAACGACATTCATATCTTTTTGGTCATGTTTGAGTTGCTCAGGAGTGGATAAATGAGCAATTGCTAAGGAACAGCACAATGATAGTTTATTATTATGTGCAATGTCATTTCTAAAAGGAGAAGAAAATGACCATATTTGAAAACTTACAACAAAAAAAGCATTTACCTTTTCTGATACTTCTTGATTACTTCCATAGCTTCAAGTTTATTATATTCATCTGCGCCATCATCATGCCGTGCCATATTGTAGATAATCCTTATCAATGGTTCGGTCGCTTCTACATTCAAACAGTTAGAATTAGTCAACCATCTGACAGCACTGCTTGGTAAATCGAGTACAATCAATGATGGTACAAGTATTGTTCGATTTGCCATACACCAAAAGAGGATTAAAATTTCAGCAGTAACTTTATCAAATGTTTCCTTCCCGGACGATAATTCACTCATGACTTTGTTATCCGCATACGCTTTTAAAATCTTTAGAAGTGTCATATAATCATTTACTAACTCGTTAGTAAACGGAACATAATTGCACGCCATAAGAGTAAAAGATAGTAAAATATAGAAATATTGGCCAAAGCTATTATTGTGTAACATTACAACATTGTCGTTGCTCAGATAATGTTGATTGACAACGAGCATATTGAGCAAATCAAGACAAGAATAAAATACTTCGTAACAGAGAGGACCGTCTTTTTTTAATCGGTTCCCAAAATTTAGACCATAGTAAATTTTATTGGTAAATATGGAAGAACAATCTTCATACCATGTGACATTAGTCGTTGTGGCCGAATTCATCATTGATTCCATCGTTGTTTTCCAGGATATTAGAGCTTTTTGCCACACTTTCTTCATTTCTATATTTGAACTGTTTTTATCATTTGTATTATTTCTAACTTGTTCGACAAGTTCATCTAATTCCATTTTAAACTTGTCAATTGCATTTGTGCATTCGTTAAATTCGGAAGACGATTCACTAGTTGTCATGTTTACTTTCTATTGTTATCTAGAATATAAAAAAGAACAACAATACAGTAATAATATATTAATCTATCAGCTATTATCCGATGATAGATCACATGTAAGTAAAATCTGTTACATGGTTTTTTAGGGAGACGGCCAGTTGCTCGCAGGACAGTTGCTCGTGGGACAGTTGCGCGCGGACATTTGCTCACCGGACACTTGCTCGCTAGGACACTTGCTCGCTAGGACATTTGCTCGTATGGACAGTTACTCGTATGGACACTTGCTCGTCGGACAGTTGCTCGCCAGTACACTTGCTCGCCAGAGTATGAGTGTGGGTGAGGATGCG